TTTAGGGTTTAGGGTTTAGTTTTCTAAACTAGGGGTCCCTTTTGGGGGGTCCTTTTTATAAGGGTGCCGTACTTTAGAGAACTAGCCATCTGCGCCTTCACACATCCCTTCTCATTTGGAGCACCCCAACTCTCAACCCTAAACCCTAAACCCTAAACCCTGAAGCACCCCAACTCTCAACCCTAAACCCTAAACCCTAAACCCTAAAGCACCCCAACTCTCAACCCTAAACCCTAAACCCTAAAGCACCCCAACTCTCAACCCTAAAGTCTCCGGCCAAGACGCTTGTCGCCAAATTGGATGCCCACGGGAGGTCCTTCAGAGCGATCCGCGGTGCCGTAGTCCTGGTGGTCACAGCGACTCGGTGAGAGCGCTGGGACGTAAAACAGCGGTCACTCCATGTCACAGGTCTCCTGTCCGATCCGACAGGCTGTAGCGCCGAATATCCTAAATGCCCTCTTCGACTCCTTGTCGGCCTCACCTAGTTTCCGCTAAGGGGTTTCCTCAAGCTCACCCACCCTAAACCTGCCAAGAAGCACTGCGGGATCCCCACATCTGATGTCCATCATTCGCCCGCAAAACCATCGAAGTTTTCTTGCTTTTCGCGTGCCTCGGCCGAAACTCACGACAACCAAATGCCTGCTGTAACTTATTCAGTCATATAAATCTACCCTGATTACTGCTGATAGCCTGCATTATTGACACTAACATCACCATCACCATCACCTACATCAGCCAAACCATGGCCAGTAATGATGTCACTGTAATTCATTGCTGATGCTGTTCTTGTCTTCTGTGCTACTACAACTTGTACACGTGTCGTCCTATCGCTGCACCAACATAATTATGGCGCTTGCTCGTGCGAGTGGTAGTCTGAGATCCCAAACCCTAAACCCCAAACCCTAAACCCTAAACCCTGAACCTCCTGCCAGTCATAACGGGGAAGACGCCTGGGAAAGGAGCCGAAGACTTTGTTACGCATGAACTCTCGACAGTTCATGTCTAAATTGACGGCTTTAATTTATGGTTCGGGGTGCACAAATCCATGCCTAGTACAGGAACAGGCGGGAGGTGGCAGCTTCATTTAGGGGATCATATGGGACTTAGTTACTGGGGCTATAGATAAAGGTAACTGTAGTTATAACTAGTTATAATCCCAACAAGGGCACTTGCAAGATTACTTACTAGAACGACTCAGACAGTCCGCCAGTCGCTGAGGCACAACAAAGCACAAAAGGAACGAGAGGTTTCGGGTTTTAGGGTTTAGAGGGTTTAGAGGGTTTAGGGCTTTAGGGTTTTAGAGCTTTAGGGGTTTAGGGTTTAGGGCTTCAGCGTTTTCGGGTTTAGATCCAAACATGATGGTTTAATGTAGGGGCTTCAATAATTAGAATAGGGTTTTGGGGGGGGGTCCTTATTACAGTTCTAGTATAATGTACCCCAAACCCTATTCCAATTATTAAGGCGCCTATATTAGGGTTTAAGGTTTAGGGTTTAGGGTTACCCTAAACCCTGAACCCTAGATCCTCACTCCATACTACGTTACACGTATGTTAAACTCTACATCCTGAAAATAAAGACCTTGAACTTCAAATCCCTCAACTTTCAACACGAATCAGCTCCGGCGCGAGATCGAGAAGTGATTGTCATCGACGGCCCCGAGACGGAAGTTGCCAAT